TGAGAAGCAGTTGTTGACAGATCCATTTGGGCCTGGGGGCTGGCCAGAATCTTTTAGTGTCTGGAGGATGGTTCAGGACCTGTACAGGTCCATGGAAGCTCCTGCTCCAGATCTTAGGATTGACTTCCTGGGAGGTGATACCTACTCAGAGGTTTAAAGGATATAGAAGACAACAGGAAAAGCATTCTAGGCATAGAGGAACATCATGTGCAAAGGCCCAGAGATGAGAGAGCACAGAGCTCCTTGAAGAGACTTGGGATGCTTGAGGGGCCCAAGTAAGGGAGGAGAGGATGAGGTAGCTCAAGAAAGGAAGCTGGGCAGCATGTGGATAGGGAGGAGGCCAAAGGCTCCTCAAGGAAAGACAGAGTTTACACTAGTGGTCTAAAGTCTGGGAAGAGCATTCCTGATTGAGGGCACAACAGCAGAAAAGACCTGGAGGCAGCTTTTGGGAACAGCCAGGGAGTTGGTTCATTTCAGCATTTGATGGGCTCAGAGCCAGCCCCTGGAACAGGCTAGGCAGGAAAATGCTGAACAGAAACCCATACTGGGTTTAGGCCACCGGTGAAGTGACTCCTTACTGCCTGCCCCTCCTGGTGCTGATGAACTGGCAGACCTACACCCTCTACCCGGCCCCCTTTCTAACACTCCCCCTCTCTGGGATCCAGTTCCGGGCCGGTGGGGGCAGGGCAGAGAGCCAGCGGCGCCTGGGGCAGGGGAGATGAGAAAACCAGAAAGTGGGGAAACCTGAGCCAGCAACGCTGGGGCTGGGCGGGCCAGGGCCTGCTCAGCCTGCTAGGCCTAGGGAAACAGGTTCCCTGAGACTAGGCCACAGGAGGAGTGCTTCATGGTCTAGTTGCCACTTCTATCCAGGGGCATGGGTTGGGGGGTGGGGGTGTCTTTGAGGTCAAGGCCTTCAAGGTACATACAGCCATCCATGTGCAGAAGCCAGAGGAACAAGGGTCTCCCTGAGGTCACCCATGGAGACTTTCCCCTTCACCAAGACAGACTAGGGATGGACAGGCGGCATGAGACCAAAAGGTTGCTGCTATTCAGCCCCCCACAACATAGCCAGAAAGAGTTAGGAGGAAGAGATGCTCTGCCAGAAACAAAAGCTGGGCTCAGACCAAATGAATGAGGGGTTTACGAAAGGGAGTTTTCAAGTTCTTTCCATCATAGAGAGTCAGGGCTGGCTGGAGGGGATCAACACCTTCCCCATGCAACCTCCACTGCTGGGCTTGAAAGAGTCTGTGTGACTATAAGCCAGACAGCAAGGATGCTACTCTAAATGCCCATCTTGTAGTCACTGAGCCCAGCTGAGAAGAGGGGAGGGGACTTCTCCAGAAAGGGACCCCAGAAACTGGGTCAGTGAAGAAACCATTCCTGGTCTAACCATTTCTGGCTTATACATGTAGATTGATACCAGGGTGGGCCATTGGAGAGGCAAAAAAGAATCATGCCAAGGAGGTGGCTGGGAGCTGGTGTCCTACAGAAAAGGGAGAGGAGTCTGGCCAGTGGGAAGTCAGGCTGTCTGTCTCTCCTCAAACCATCCCACAGGGAGCCCTGAGGAGCGCTCAGGTGGAACTGTTGTTGTTGTTGTCAAGTGCCATCGAGTCGGAACTGACTCATAGTGACCCCATGCACAGCAGAATGAAACAATGTCCGATCCTGAGCCAACCTCACTACTGCTGCCACACTTGACACCATCAATGATGCCACCTGGCTGATCCATCTCATTGGGGGTCTTCCTCTTTTTCTCTGACCCTCCATCTTACCCAGCATGACATCCTTCTCCAGCGACTGTTCTCTCCTGACAATATGTCCAAAGTATGAGAGATGAAGCTTAGCCATCCTGGCCTCCAAGGAGCACTCTGGCTGCACTTCTTCCAAAATAGATCTATTGGTTCTTTTGGCAGTCCATGAAACTTTTAGTATTCTCCTCCAACACCACAACTCAAAGGCATCAATTCTTCTATGGTCTTCCTTATTCACTGTCCAGCTTTTCCAGCAACTCAGTGGCTTTTGCATGGGAGGGCAAGCCTATGGGTGGTAGCAGAACTAGATAGTAAGGAAGAAAGTTAGCTCTCTGGTCTCTTGGCTCATTCAATAAAAATTACTCAACTCCATAAGTGCAACATGGACTCTAGTGCTCATTGCCAGCCCTTCCTGCTGCCTAACTGGCTAACAGGTCCTGGCCCCATGAGGACCCACAACTCCTCCCTTCCTTCCTAGAGTCTTCTCATTGTTGTTACTAAGTGCTGTGGAGTTGGTTCAGACTATTCTCATAACTCCTGAAAATGCCTCCTCTAGGCACCACTGCCTGGTGGTTTCAGGCCTTATCCTACTTCTCCCAGTCTCCACCTTTTCAACTGTACATTGAGGACAATGGGTTTACTTCTCTGCATGATTGAGTACCTGGAGAGAGCTACAATAAACCCTGCTGTCATAAGGAACCTCCCAACCTGGTGCCCAGAGGTGGTTTCAAGGGGTCTATGGACCCTGTGAAATTGAAGGAAAATTACAAAATCATGGGAGGCTGTATTATATATTCTTCTCAATCATATGTATCATACGTAACCAATAACCAAACCCACTGCCATTGAGTTGATTCCTGCTAATAGTACTCAGTGTAGAGTTTCCAAGACTAAATCTTTACAGGAATAGACAGCTTCAGTTTTCTCCCAACAGCCTCAGAAACCCTGTACAGGGTCACTATGAGTTGGAACCAACTCCACAGCACATAACCACCACCATCATCATGTATAAAATTATATCTGGGAGAAGAAAGCCTCCTCTTTATCTTGCAAAGTGGCTGGTGGGCTATATATACACATATATATCTATATAATGCCCAGCCCAGTATTGACCCAGAACAAGGATACAGTGTGAGTTTACTACTTTAATAATCATTTTAATTGATATTGATTATTCAGCCCCCTCTAATTGCTGGCATTCCTCTGCATAGGCCATGGCTCAGCTCTAGTTCTCTTCCCTCTCCCTGTGCTCCCCTCAGGGAGGAGAGCTGAAGGCAGTGTCACTGCAGCTACCATCACTCCAGTCTGATGTTTCCTCAGCTCCAAAGCACAGTCTGTGCTTGGAGCATGTGGGCTGGCACTCCCAGTCTAGGTAAGGAGACTTCCTCAGGATCCCTAGCCCCACCCACACCCTATACTTGCAGTCAACTACTCAATGGTCAGAGGAGAGATGTCTCCTGGGGATCTTGTTAGAAAGAGAGGGTGGGGGGAGTAGGATTGAGAAGAAAAAGGGAGGGAGGAGAAGGAGAGAAGTGGAGAGAAGAGGAGATGTGGAGGATAAGGGAAAACGAGGAGGAAGAGAGAGAAGATGGGAAAGGAGCAGAGGGGGACAAGAAGAAAGATTCCAAGGGAAAAGCAGGAGGTGGAGAGCAGATGGAGGAGGGCCACCCCTGAAGCCACCATCATTGTACCACCATCAACATCCTTTCCATATCCCCACAGCCTCCGTGGTGGTCTCCAGTCACTAAGGAAGAAGCATTAGGACTCACCAAAGACATCAGGTTACTGGGCTGGGAACAAAAGAAACACAATTAACCTGTCCATGGAGCTCCACCAAGACACAGATTAGGCCCAGGACACAGAGAGAGAATAAGGGGTGGTAGGGAGAGAGGAAAGAGAATCAGAAATGAGGTTTGGCTAATACAGAGGAAGAAAAGGAGCAAAGAGGAGAGGACAAAGACGGCTAAAGTCCCTGGAGACCTCAGGAGAGTCCATGGGGCAGGGTTGAGACTATGGTCCTGACTGGTGACGTCATGGCCTTGGGAGTGGGTGTGGGGTGAAGGTCCCTTCCTGGAGTAAAGGTAGACCCATTCTCAGTTGCTGGGCCCTGGGGTTATCACCAGATCATTTGAAAGCAAGTGACCTTTTAGGAGAGACAGCCCATCTGACTTCTCTGGGATTTGGAACGAAAGGCATACTATTTGCTAGGTCTGTCGGGGTGCTAGCTTCAAATAGGACTGGCAGTTGGTGGCGTCTTGAGGAGGATCCGCCATTGGGTGGCTGGTCAGAACTGTGTGGCTAAGTTGTTAGCGCCTGGCCTGGGCTGGAGGAGATGGCCCACTCGTCAGGTCCATCGATGGCAGCCGTCGCAGGGGCTGCACCGCCACCTGCTGAACGTCCTGGGCAGATCCCGGCCTCGCACCACGGGGCTCGCGCACTGGGGTCAAGGGCGCGGCCATCCTGAGGGGGAGGAGGGACGCGGCAGGGGGTGCGCAGGTGAGCGCAGGCTTGTTGCTCCCTGGCGCACCCGTCCTTCCCTCCAGGGAGTTGAGTGCCCGGGTAAACACCAGGCGCTGTGTGCGCGGTGTATCCACTGAGAGACAAAGCCGAGGCAGGGCGGGGGCGCCGCCTGAAAGGCGGGGGCGAGGGCGCGGGCGCGGGGTGCGAAGCCTTCTGGGCTAGCGAGGTTCCTGCGCGTGGGAGCCCAAATCCTAGTCCGCAACCCGCGGACAGGTGGAGCGAGGGCGGGACGGTGGCCGGGCGGGTCCCGCCCCGGGGGTGGGGCTGGGCAGACCGGGCGGGGCGGGGCCGCGCTATGCAAATGCTGCCCACGGGCGGCCAATTGCCGGAGCTCCCCGCGCGGCTCCGTGCTCCCTGTCCCGCCAGCGGCCGCGAGACGAGAGCGAGCGAGGGAGCGAGCGGCCGTGATCCGAGGAGCCTCGAGCGCAGGGCCACGGCGCGAGGCGAGGAACAGCGCAGCTCAGCGCGGCCGCCCTGCCCGGGTCCAGCAGCCAGGAGAGCGCAGCGCCACCCGGCCGAGCCGAGCGCGTCGCCCCAAAGCCGAACGCTTGCCACCGCCTGCACCCCGCACTGGGGCATGCTCCCTCGGCGCGCCGGCCAGGGGGCGCCCGCAGCCCGCCCCGGGGGAGGCGGTCCCGAGCGCCCCTAAGCCTTCCAATGGCCCGGGCTGGGACCCGGGGCCTCGGCTGCTGACGCGCCAGTAGCCCGTGCAACCCACCTAGCTGCAGGCGCGGCGCCGACCCCGGCTAAAGCGCAGCGGCAGAGGGAGCGGGCAGGGACATGGCCCCGGGGGGCCGCTAGTGCGGGTTGGCCCAACTGGAAGCCGCTCCGCTACCGCTGCCGTCGCCGCCTCCCGGGCGCCCAGGCCCCGCTGCTGCGGGAGAGGTGAGTGTGACGGGAACAGGGAGGGAGCGAGCAGGCGACCTGGCCACCCCTCGACCCCTTTGGGACTCGCAGTGCTGCAACTCCGCGGAAGTGTCCGGGGCGCACAGCTCCTCCGCGGGCCAAGTGACTGCTAGAAGACGCAGGGGCGACAGGACTGGAATGGGCGTCGTTCCTGTTCTGGCGGCCCAGACCGCTTATCTCTGGGGTTGGCGTGGGTGATGCGACCTGCGTGGTCACCATTGTACGAAACAACTTTTTCCGCCAGGTCCTGAGTGGGTGAGCGCCGGGATATCCCTCACCAGAACTCCCTTCTTGCTTAGCGTTCTCTCTCACCAGTGTCTCAGGCAGCCCCTCCTCCACTGCTCTGCCTCAGTATCCCCATTGAGGACAGCGTCAACCTGTAGAGAGGCATAATGCAGGAAGCCCCCACCTAAGAGTGGGGGCTCTCAGATCCGCTGAACAGGAGGAACGCCAGCCCCAAAGCACTTCTTCCTATGTTGTGACATCCTCTTGACCCCGAACTGCCAGCTTGGGTTTGCTTTTCCAGCAGGGAGTTCTGTCGGATTGGGGGCCAGCTATGTGTGAGGTGTAGGAGAGCTAGGAAACCTGTGGTCTCCAAACTGCAGTCAGTGCAAGCTGGGGACATTGTGGTAAAGTAGGCAGGTGGCACTTGAGGCTTGTTGAGCTGACCCCAGCAGGTGGGACTGGCGGTGTTGAGGTGGACCAGGAATGAAGCAGGGCTGGCAGGAGAGGTTGGAGCCAGTGCTGAGAGCTTGGCCAGGTAAATAACTCCTAATTCTTGAGATAGCTTTGTTGTTGCCACAACCCTTTAATGCCTAAGATGAGAGGCAGAATGAAGGCATCTGTGTTTTGCCCTAGAGTTGGGCCAGGTTGGGGGTTCCTGTCCTGAATTCACCCAGATTACCTCCCAGCAACCCCTATCCTAGTTGCAGAGAAGGGAAACTGAAACTGCACCCAGTGCTTGGTTCCAGCTCTGGAGGTTGAATTGATCTAGGACCTCTTTCCCAGCTGCCCAGGGGGTGTGTCTGGACCTCCTGGGTGCACAGGGGCTAGGGCTAGGTGAGGACACACCCCTGCTGCTACCCCTCTTCTCTGAAGAAGCCAGGCCCGGAAGTGGCAGGCGGGAAATGGGGAAAGCCAACAGCCCAGCCTCAGCTCCCCCTGCTCTGCATACCTTAGTTGGGGGAGGATGGAGCTTGTGACCTTGACTGGAAAACTCTGGCCACGTAAGGGGGGTTTCATTCCCAGCCTTCCTAGGGTGCCTCTTCCTGGTCCATGGGGTGTTGGGGGAGGGGCTGGCCAAAGAGCCAGCAAAGAGCTCTGGCCTGAAGGAGTTATCTAAGGGACTGGATAGGGAGTGGGGAAAGCCGTTAACAATTTCCCTCCCTGTGTTCCCCCACAGCCCCAATTCCTGCCTCCCCACCATCCAGGCAGTTCGTAGCTCATTGGAGCCAACCTCCCTTTCCTGAGGCAGGCTGTTCCCCATCCCCCTTCCAAGGCTAAGAGGTCTGGATTGGGCTGGACAGTTCGACCACCTGGCCCTCTGCCCCGCCCCCAGGTGCCTGCAGACCCCCCTTCTCTGGCTGCCCCTCCCCTGCACCCCTTGTCAGCCCCAGCTCCTCGTTTCTTTGTTCGAGCGTCTTTCCTCTGTCCCTCCCTCTCTCCTCCCTCTCTCCTCCTCCCTCCCTCCTGCCTGCCTCCCTCGCTCCCTCCCGCCAGCCTTCCTTCCCTCCTTCCAGATTCTCTTCCTGGTGGGCTCCCAGGTGGCGGTGGCTGTTTCTCCTCTGTCCACCCACCAGGACTTTTCCAGACTTGGGGGCACCTCTGGGATTGGGCTAGTGGAAGACATCGAGGGGCTGACAGATTTAATTGACTGTAGACAATGCCTGCCCCCTCCCCCTCTCCTTCCTTCCCTCTCCTCTCCACCACCTCCCAGGCTGCCCGGAGGGAGCTGAGATTTGGGCCTGAGGACCCAGAAGACTTGAGTGTCCCTCATTCACTCCCTTAAAGGGCCAGAGCATTGTGGGAGATTCCAGTGGGGCAAGTCCCCCCACCTTCCTGGACACCTTGGAAGACTCCAACCATATTCTTGGTGACTGGCTCTGACCCTGTCACCATGAAAGTGGATGCAGGAGAAATGAGGTCATAGGATAGGGCAGTGGACCTGAGCTCCCCAGTAGAGAGGACCAAAGCTCTCAAAGGGGCTCATGCTTCATTGCCTCCTTTCCAACCAGGACCTTGTCTCTCAGCTCCTCTGAGCCACACCCCACTAGCAGGTCAAGTTCTTGAGTAAACACATGCTTTTGAGGACGTGTGTGGGCATGCATGTGTGGACGTGTGTATATCCACATCTGTTAGTGGGGGCCTCCCAAGTGCACCCGAGGGTGATGGTGGCTATGCAACACTTTCTCCCACCTGCTGCCTCATCAGAGCCTACCATGCAATCTACACTAGCTTTGTGCCTCAGCAGACTAGGAAAAGAGCTGGTTCTAATTCTACCATCCCTCTTCCAGCATTCCCCACCCCCACCCCCAAGACAACATCAGTGATGGAGATCTTGAAGGAATATGAGAGTGTGCCAGGCACTCAAGAGAGGGTGTTCCCAGCAAAGGGCATCACATGGCGAATGGGCCAGGAGGTTTGAAGTTGCACTTCCTGTCTGAGGAACCATGAGTGGTTTGCCTTGGCAGGAGAGGTCTTGGGGGAGGTGGGTCTGGGGAACATCAGGACCTAAGAATCAGATATGGAGTCTGGGCCTGGCCTCAGAATTGGGCAGGGTTCTGAACAGAGGATTTACAAGCCATAAAACTCCTACTCCCCATCCCAGAGTCCTGGGGATAGTAGGCTTGGGTCCTGTCTCCCATAGAAGAAGGAAACAAACTGAGCAGATCTGGGAGATGGGGCTTGAATGAATTATTATACTTGTTGGTATCCCTACCCCCACCACATCCAGGTTTGGGGGGTGGGATAGGAGTTGGCGCTGATTTGTGCCGGGAGGGAGCAATATGTTCTGACAACTGGTGCTGGGCTGCGTTTACTCAACAGCCAGCCTGCCTGGGGAGACAATATTTGAAAAACACAGAATCAAAACTTGGACCTGTTGAGGATTGGGGACTTTGCAGGGGTGACTGAGACTGGCTCAGGCACTACCCCAGGCTAGCTTCCCTTCATTGCGTCTCTGAGAAGTGCTGAAACTTTTCCCTGACAGGAAGTCCCTCCACCTATCTAACCTGGATCCCTCATGTTGTGATTTCAGTAGATGTTAAACCCTGTGACTCTGCCTCTCCTCTCTGCCTAGTGTTTTCTTGCTATCACTTTGGGCTTTCTCTGGGTCTCTTGCCTATCATCCCCCTCTCTGCCATGTCCCTCTCCATCCTAACAGGTTCAGATTTCTCTGCACTGGGAGGAAAGGTTTGGCTGGAGCAGGCAGGGACAGACCCCATTCCTCTGGGTGGGGAAGAGAAGGAGCAGCCCCTTTGTGGGGTTCAACGGAGAAAGATCAGGAGAGGACTCTGAGGTTCCCTGCTAGGGCTGGGTCCTGTGACTAGAATTCAGGTGCTGGGGAGGTAGGGGGAAGTTTGGTTCTCCAGTGGCCCTCATCACACTGGTGACCCCAGACTGCCCACCCTAGTCTGTTCTTCAGGCCTGTTGTTGATACCTCCCCTTACATACGAAGGCACCATATATAAAGTTTACACTGTATGGGGCCCTCATAGCTCCATGCTTGGTGTGCCTTTTTGTTCACGTGGGGAAACTGAGGCACCTTGGGCATAGGGAGAGATTGGTAGGTTGGGATTTCCTTATCTGCATTCCATTCCATTCTTGGTTACCTCTTTCCAGGTGTCTGGAGAGAGAGCGGAGTCTGCTTTCTTCTTCCTGGGCTCTAGGCCCCTCCCACAATGCCTGTCGCTGGTCTCCTCCTCTGGGCTTCCCTACTGACTGGGGCCTGGCCAGCTGCCCCCACCCAGGACCTCATCCAGGCCACACCCAGGGTCCGGCTCTCATTCAAAGGTAAGAGGTTGCCTCGCCTGCTCTTCCACAAGCACTATCCTCTGCTTATAGCACTTGACCCCACTGTAGTCCCCACTTAGAGGATAAATCAGGGCAAAAAATAACACATTGTTTCTTAAGCTAGATGGTATTCCCAGTGTTGGTCTAAATCTTCTTTCATATGTGAAATACTTCATAATAGTAAACTAGCAAAAAAAGATAAGTTGTATGGCTACATGGTTTACCCTGGTTGTGTATATGTGTAGGGAGGGGGATACTGGAAAGCCTGGAGTTAGGAGCATTTCTTGAGTCTGGGTACTTTCCAAGGTCAGACTCGGGGGTCCTGGGCAGAGTCACCTAGGGTCTGTAAATCATCTCTCTGTATGCAGTTATTCCAAATCTGTTTTCTAAGCCCCTTCTTTCCCACTGCTATGTGCCTGGTCTTACCCTGGATCGCTCAGGCCAGAGGGACAGACAATTAGGCAGACCCTGGAGCCTCAGTAAGTTTGCTCTGCTATGGGTGCTTGATGAAATTTCCTTATGGGTCCCAGGCGGAAAGGATTCACAGGAATCAGGGAGGGTGCTAGCTGAGTGGCTAGAAGGTGGGCGTGGGCCATCTACTAAGACTTCCAGTGCCTTGGAGTCATGGAAGGTTTTGATGATGGGTTGGGGTCTGCAGAATGAGTTGATCCCTCTACTCTGTCACCTCTGCACTCCCCCCACTGGGCAGGCAAACACAGGTGGTGCTTTGCACACCTTCAAGTATACAAGTGACTTACCTGGAATATTTCCCAAGGTCACTACCTTGAGAATGTGGTCAGAAGAATCAACTTAGCACCCAAACCCAGGGCACCTGGGATCAGTGCTGAGTCCTCAGCCTTGGCCCTTCTCTAGCCCGAGGTCACTTTGTTCAGTTGCCTGCCCTGGGTGGGGCAACTCAATCCTGGGCTGGCCAGTTTTCCAGGCAGTAACATTGGGGTGAAAGGCTGGACTGCACTTTCCTTCCTCAGACTCAGCCAAGGCCCAGCCCTCACCACACCAAGTCCCCCTGCCACATCCCACCCCTTCAGTGGGTGGAGGGTGAATGAGCTGCCTATTGTAGGTTCTGCCCAGTCACCAACTTCTGGGGATTTCTGAGGATGTGCTCAGAGGGGTTCTGTGGAGGACCTGAGAAATGTGCGATAAGAGTTTATCAGTTTGGGTTGTTAAATACCATCTCCCCACACACACACACACACACACACACACACAAATCTCCCAGACTTGTAAAGGTAAGATATTTATTCAGCTGATAACTCCCTACCAGTTTCCTCGCCCTGTTCACAGCCCAGGAAGAGTGGAGTGTCCCCTTTCCCTGCTGTAGAAGTGAAGGGTGGCTCAGTCTCCTCCCCCCTGGGACCTCTGGAGCCCAGGCTTTCACTCAAGTTGTTATTTTTGTCATCATCCCAGAGACCTGTGAGAAGAAGCAGGAAGCACAAGACATAGCGAAGTTCTCTGTGTGCTCCTTTTAAACCTTCCCAAACCTCCAGGGGCAAAGGGTAAAGACTTTTGTTCCTGTTTTCCAGAGAGGGAAACTGAGGCTTAGGCAAGGGCAGGGCCAAGGTCAGGCAGGAGGCAGAGGTGAGGCCAGAAATAAAACCCCAGCTTCCTGGCCTTGCCGGCGCCCACGGTGCTTCGGGTCGATTCTCTCTCAATTAGCTCTGAAGCCGACACCAGCAGTGACTAAAAGCCCAACTCATCTCTCCAGCTGGCAGCCAGCCTGCGGCTGATGAAGCCTAGGGTGGGGCTATAGGATGCCTGGGGCCACCCCAACCCAGGGGCCTTTTGCTTCTGCACACACGGTGTTCTATTCCTCTGCCCAGAGTGACCCCTACCCCTGCTCCCCATTAGGAGATAAAACTTTGTGTCCTAGTTTTCTCTGTAGATGTCACGCCATTTCAGCAGGGACTTGAGTACTTACTATGTGCCAGACCCTGTGTTGGGTATCAGGGTCTCCATTCTGCTCCCGTAAAGAGTAACAGCCTCAGAAACTCTGTACAGGGTTGCTATGAGTCACAACTGACCCACAGCACACAACAATAACAACAGCAGTGAACAAGATGGGGAGTTCACAGTCAAACTAGCTGAAAGGACAGTAGGCACTCCATCGGTCAGTGTCATTTGGGAGTCCAGCACCTACTGTGCATAGGCCCTGTGCCTCACTCCCATGCTAGATGATCTTAGCTGGGTCATGTGCACAAAGTGACGCTTAGCAAGTTGTAGTCCCTCACTAAGAGTTTGTGGATTAAGAATAGAGACCAGCGTCTGGAGAAACTGGCACCCACAGCCAAGCCAGATGCTGGGAAGGAGAGCCTCTTTCTTGAGGCTGATCACAAGGAGGACAGAGAGAGCTGCTTGCAGAAGCACTGGTGCTCTGTCTGGCCCTGCCTCAGTTTCTCCATCTATACCTCAGATGGATACAGTAGCTAGCACACCAGACCTCAGGACCTCCCCTGATTAGGCACAGACTAGGCACACCCCTCCCCCTGCTATCTGGGAGGTGCCAGTTCCGGCCTGTGTTGGGCCAGACCCTCTAAGCCGGAGGTTCTGGCATGAGGGACCTTTTTGCCTAGGCAGATAAAGGAACAAAGGCAGGAAGCGAGCCAGGCTTGGGCTTGCTGCCCTCCCATCCACCAGGGCACCCTGGCCAGGTCTAGAGCTGGGAAAATCTGAGGGAGGAGGGGTGCAGGGTTCAGTCATATCTTGGGGGGCTCCAATGGCCCATCTCCTAAGCTTCCATCAGCAGCACAGCCAAGATCTATAAAAAGTAGAGTAAAACATCAAATGAGGAAGATATCCAGGTGCAAGCAAGGTCTTCTTGGATCCCCAGCTCCTGAGAGCTTGTGGATGTTTGGGGCTGGAGAGCCTAATCAATGGGAACTTCTTTCCTCTTCCCACTTATGCCTGGACCTGGGATTCTCTCCGCTCAGAGTCACATTCCAAGGCAGGACACACTCCTCTTCCCTTCTGCCTTATGATCCCAGGCAGCAGTAGTCCTCTCAACACCTCTGGCTTAGAGGCCTTCAGGGGCTTTCCAAGTCATTCAGGAGCAGGATGAGATTTGCCTGTCCTCTTAGCCTCATTTCCCAAGGAAGAGGCAGGGCTCACACTGGGCAAGGGCCACATGTCCTGTGTGCTGAAGCAGCAGCACTTGGGTTTGTGTATTTCCAGGCTGTAAATCCAGCTCTTGAACATCCCAGCCGTCCACTCAGCAGCTTCCCTAGGAAGCCCCATCACTTCAGAAATGAGAAAACCAGAGCCCAAGAGAGAAAAGGGCTTCTATGACCAGGGCAGCCCAAGCAGAACTGGCTTACTCAGTGGGAAAGGATGTCTGCAAGTGGGGGATAAATGGATGAGTGCCCATCATTGCCTTCCTACCTACCTCATCCTGGCCTCTGGGGCTAATGGCCCAGAACAGTGCTATCTAGCATATCATTTGCTTGTGACAGCAAAGGACTGAAGTTACCAGATCTCCATGTTTGGAAATGAGATGAGAAGTTGGGAGGGGTCATAGCCTGCTTTCTCAATCCCATAGAAAGAAAGGGTGACTATGAAGAGAAATGGAAGTACATTCAGCAAGCCTTGGTGGACCATTGGCCCGATCCTAACTCAGGACCCTGGCCCCTGGGACTCCCAGACCAGCCAAACCAGCCATCAAACCTTAGATTGCAGAGGGTGGGAGAGTGGGGGTGGAGAGACCCAGGAACTTGGAAACCAGGAATCAGGCATTTAGAGCTGGGCAGGGGTCAAGTGACTTTGACAGCTACATTGGGGTTTGAAACTGGCCAGCCTGGGTGGGGCAAGTGTTCCCAGATGAGCCATGATGAAGAAGGAAGGAAGATCCAAACATGAGCTTACATCCAGATCCATGCATTTGGAATCTTAGTTTTCCAGGAAATGAAAGCCACCTCACTCCTGAAAGGAGACCTCAGAAAGTGGCCACTTCAGACACTGGGGGGTCCTAGAGGCTGCCCTCCCCCAGCAAGAACCAACCCTTGGGGAAAGTGGGGACAGGGTCCTTGGGCTTGCCCAAGAACCTGCCTGAGGCTCAGCCTGTGTCAGCCAGGGCAGGGCATGGGGCTTTCAACTGTGGTCCTTCCAGGTACAGCCAAGCTTCAGATGAGACTGCCACCCGTGGGGCCTCAGCAGTACAGGCCTTGTCTCTGGTTCCCTGGCATGATGCCCGTCCCTCCTTCCCTGGCTCCAGCTTCCCTTGGCACTGAGCAAGGAGCTGGTGCATGCTCAAGGAGTAAATCATGTTCCTTGGCAGCCCCCACTGCTTCGTAATCGTAAAGAATTTAAAGAGAAACTGCCAAGATAAAAATCTCATCCCAGCCCATAAAGGGCATCTTTCACCCTGTGGCTTGGAGGCAGCATGCCTCTGAGTGGGCTCTTGGCTGTCTGCACCTGTTTGTGTGCACCCTCTGACCCTATGATTCCTCCTGAGGTGGTGACAGCCCAAGGGGGCCTGGCCCCTGACTGCCAAGAGATCTCACCAGGGCAGGGAGTGGCACACTTATATTTGGTCAAATAGAGGTGGTGATGGTGGTTGAGGGCACTGGCCCTGAAGGTAGACAAACCCTGATTCTACCCTTGTGAGCTGTGTGAACTCAGAAAAGTAACTTTGCCTCTCCTAGCTCTGGTCTCCCCTGTGTGAAGCAGTGATGTCAGTGGCCCTGTGGAGGAAGTAGTATCTTGATAACTTGGGTTGCCTTGTGTGTATTCTGGCTGGCCTTTTTTTTTTTTTTTTTTTGTCTCTGTTGAATTGACTCTGATTCTTGGTGACCCTGTGTGTAAGGTCAGAGTAGGACTGGGCTCCATAGGGTTTTCAGTGGTTGATTTTTCAGAACTAGATTGTCAGGGCTTTCTTCTGAGGACCCCTGTGTGGACTTGGTTAGCAGCCAAGGATGTTAACCATATGCTCCTCTTAGAGACTCTTTCTGGAGTCCTGTTGTGGCGCTTTGGGTTAATGAGCTGGGCTG